TATATTATTATTCTTATTATATCTTCCCATAGTTTCCTTAATGTTTATGATTTAGGACATAATTTTGTTTGTCTCTCTTTTACAAATTAAAACCATACAATTAGATGGATAACAACGAGATCAAAGGTGTCTTTAGTGTCGTGGCACCAATTTCTCTTAAAGAACACAGAGAATAAAGGTGGTAGTTACATATGACACAAATCCTAATCGAGCTGGTAATGAAACCAAAACAACATAATCATGCTACAGGTCTTTTTGATAGGGATGGCAATGGGTCGGGTTTTGCCAAACCCAAACCCAAACTCATGGATTTATTTTTGAAAAAAACTCGGGGTAAAACTCAGTGGGTTTGAAAAACTCAAACCCAACCCAACCCGTTGGGTACCCGCGGGTTCATGGGTACCCACGGGTTTTGTCGTAAAAAATTTACAATTACAAGTTCTTATCAAAATTAAAGTCAAATATCAATCTCTCAATACAAATTATCCATATGTAAAACACCATTCTAGAAAATTCAAGCAAATCACAAATTAACTATACAAATTGTTCAACACCAATCTAGAAAACTAAAAAAAAAATGAAGCAAATCACAAATTTTCCATAAATAACATGTTTAATTAAAAGCTTCTTCCTTTCAATTAAGTTTCTTTACTCTCCACTCCATAACATCAACTTCATTCTACACAATTAAAAAGAAAAAATTAGACATGTCTCCACAAACATAAATAAGATTAGTTGTTTAGAATATTAAATATACCGAAAAAATTAATTATATGGGTGGGCGGGTACCCACGGGCCGGGTTTACCTAAACCCAAACCCAACCCGTTGAATAGTGAACGGGTTTAAACCCAAACCCGGCCCAAAACCCGTCAACACGGATTTTACCCGCGTTGATCGGGTTGGGTCGGGTGGGTACCCGTGGGTTCGGGTTTTGTTGCCATCCCTACTTTTTGAGTCATTAATTTAGTAAAAATTGTCCTCTAGCTAGGGAATGATATACAAACTCCAAGGCTTGTTGACCATTTTGGTCATCCAAAATTAGCAATCAGAAATTTTATTCATAGGTGTATCTCATAAAAAATAAAAAGTTAAATGAATGACTTTAAAGTATGGTAGAGTATGAAAATTTGATATCCAATTGCTACAAATACAAAATGCAAAATACCTAGTGACATTTAAAGAAAAACAATTACAAAATGTGTTTTCATCTTCTGAAAGAAAAAGGGCTAATACCACTACAACACCCGAACTATTCCGAAAATGTCACTTGTATCCTATTGTTTTCAATATTCCATCTGTATCCTGAACTATTTTTCTGTTAAAGTTGACTTGTTTTGACCGTTAATTTTTGACAGAAAGTCTAGTCAGCGTTGATGTGGCACATGACGTGGAATTTTCATTTATTTTTTATTTAATAAAATAATTAAAATAAAAAACAATGAAAAAAATAAAACATTTGACATTCCTCCCCAATCTATTATTCCCTTGCTGCCTCCTCATCTCCGCATCGCCGTTCCTCCCCCATCTATGCATCGCCGTTCCTTCTCGATATCTCTCCACCTCTAACGAAATCGGTTTTTGCTTCTCTGCTCTTTCCAGACCTGGAGACTATCCCAGTTCATCCCCGACGCTGGATTTTCTCCCTAGTTGTCACAATAAAACTCCCCTGTGTGGCGGCCGCCGGAATAGTGAGCCTCGGAGCTTCGTTGCCGTCGAGAGATAGGTGACTCTATCAGCTCCAATCTCATCCAGAAAATTCTTCCCAAGCTGTATTACCTCCCACCTGGACATCCGCTCCACAATCGAAACCACCAAGGCCATCCCATCACTGTCATTAGATAAAATTCAACCCCCAACCCTAATAATCCAAATCCTCCACCCAAATTGTATCCGCCTTGTTGGAAATTTCCCCTCTCCCAGCTGGCCTCCTCTGTTTCTCATCGCAGTCACCGCTTCCTAAACAATCATAGCCAACCCCCAATCTTGCTTACTTCCATGGCTTTCTGAACAAATAGGGAGAGGAAGAAGAAAAATAGAATCAGAAGAACAGTAGGGAGAGGAAGAAGAAAAATAGAGGGAGGTTGGATTGCAAACAAAATGGCCCAATATAAACATATGTTTTCTGTAAAGGAGACTGGGACTGGGACGGCAATCACAGTGCGGCGTCGGTACGGATCTGGAAGAGAGAGGTGCTTGCATAGAAGAGATCGATCTACAACAGTCGGAGCCGGATCTGCTTCCCCGCCCTTCTCTCTCCCTCCATCGCGCGCGGCGGATCACCTCGCTAGCGTAGTTTTAGGTTTCTCGTTCTTGTTCGAATACGAGCAGGGGAATCGACTTGTTGATTTCTGGTTAAATTTATTGAGGTCGAACAAGAGCAGGGGAATCGGCTTGGAGAAATTTAGAGAAAGAGAGGGCGAATGGGTAGGAAATAAGAATAATGAGATTTTTTTTTATATTTTGGATTAAATAAATAATTGAATTTATATTTTTTTAAAATTTTAACTCAATTTTTTTTAATTTGAATTAAAAAAATATGAGGTCAGTGACGTGGCATCTATGTGGCAGCCACATTCTTTGCCACGTCAGCAAAAGTCAACTTTGTGTTGACCACCGTTTGGTCAACCGTTATCTTTAACGGTCAACGAAATTGACAGGATACAAATGACACAAAGTATCAAAGTTGAGGACATGTATGGAATATTGAATACAATAGGACACAAGTGGCATTTTTGCGATAGTTCGGGTGTTGTAGTGGTATTAGCCCAAAGAAAAATATGAATGCATCTATTAATGTATAATATAGAGTAAATATTTTAATTCAATTTCTTTTTGAATACTCCTTCTATGTTAAAAATTTAGCAGCAGATTGGCTTTGTGGTGTAGTGGTTTGATAATTCTTACTCCAATAATTCCGAGGTATCCGGTTTGATTGTTCTATATAGGACCGGATCTAGGTGTGTCGTATGAAATACAATTTCGCTATCATTGTGCAAGTCGCCACGCAGAGAGAGTTTGTAGCAGCCATTTTGAATATCATTTTTCTAAAAGTTAAATATTACTTACGAATTTTCATTTTCATTTTAAATTTAAATTTCATTAATTATTAAATAATATACCTTATTATTTATCTCGTTAGAGTTAGGCCTCAATTTCTCTCTCTCTCTCTCTTCATCATATTGGCTAGAGGTGTTCAAATGGTTACCATGGTTATTACCAAACCAAATAAGGCTAAATTTCATTAACTGTGGAATGAAATATTATAACCAAACCGTCCAAACTAATACAACAACCAAACTAACCAAACTAAAGTTTAATCGGTTTGGTTAATTGGTTAACCAGATTAACCAATATAAAATCATATTATCATCAAGTGAGAAATTTTTTGGTTAATTTATCAATTCACAATTTATATAATGAATAAAACATAACAATCAACACATAGTTATAGTTGACTCTTAACATAAATACATGCAACTAAGTCAATTATCTTACGGTTAGTATAGAAGTATTCACCTAACAAAAATTTATCAAAATGGTATGGATTAATGAATTGTTGTGTTTGTTTGAATTGACTTACTCTTTTAGCAATTTTCATAGCCTGAAAATGACCTTGCTTTCAAGTTTTCATCCAACATAATGTATGAAAATTTATCTAAATTAGGCGGTCATATGTTGTGGTCTACACTCTACATATACAAATATACATTATAGGAACAATATCAAGCTTTATATTTTATGAGTCTAAAAGGATAAACGTTTAACTCTTGAGTGATTATTCAAAGTATTAAGTATGTGTATATATTAGATATATAACTAATTATTTATCTGGTTAATTTGGTTTGGCTGGTTAGGAGTGTCTGAAACCAAACCAATAGGGGTGGGCAACGGGACGAGACGGGATACCCGTCCCGTTTTAAACGGGTACCCAGTCCCATTTGGAGACCAAAGTCCATCCCATATCCCAAACCCATATGGGAAACGGGTACCCATTACCCGTACGGGACGGATAACGGGTACCCATACTACCCATAAATACCCAAAGTTTAAACCACAAAAATTTTAACAAAAGTTTAAACTTAATTTGTATTTGCTTAACAATCACAAGACACAAAATACATCCCAATCACAAATACTTGGTTTGCAAATTACACATTCATGAACAATCACAACACATAGAAATAAATCATTCCAAGTACCAAATTATATAAAAAAAAAGTTTCATTCAACACATCCCAACTCTCTCTACTAATTCACCAAACATGTCAGTGAAAGAGTGAAAGGGTAAGGGCCGAAATGGAATTGAAATTGAAAGGGTAAGGGCCGAAATGGCCAATGGGTTTTGAATTGGGTTGGGCTAAATTAAATTTCTGCATTTGTATTGAATGAGTATAACGGGTACCCATATTACCCAAACGGGTATTCGCGGGTAACCCGCGGGTACCCATATTAGGAATGTTCAATCCCAAGTCCCGTCCGTTTATAATATTACGGGTAATATGGGTACCCGTAACCCTTAAAAAACGGGACGGGTACGGGTATACCCAAATACCCGTTTCCCGTTGCCCACCCCTACAAACCAAACCATCTAAACCAAACAAGCTAAAAACTTTAACCAAACCAACACCCTGGCCAATAAAAACTTGAGAAAGTGGCTAAAAGAATCAAGCCGCCATTCATGGGATACAAATACAATTAGCGAGTAAGCCACCAAGTTTATCTTCTCTTGTTTTGTGTTTTATTGAGTGCTCTTCATGATAATCTCTGACAAAGCCATTTGGTTGTTGAACTTAGCATTAATGGAGACGGCCAAACACGAAAAAAAGATTAGCACTAATTTAAATTATTCGACTAGAAAGAAAGAACTAGTCTTGCGAGGCCAATAAAACGAAACCGTGTGAAGCCTTTTTCCGCAAAATCCCAATCCAACAGTTGACATTTAGACCGTTGCTCCGGCGGAGAGCAAAAAAAAAAAAAAAAAACAGAGAACAACAAAATCCTCTCATTTCCTTCTCTGCGCCGCCGGCCGACTCGCCGGCGTTCCTCCCATATTCATTTCTACCCCGTGACCCACATAAACGCGCACAATCCCCTAATTCCTTCTCGTCGCTTCGAAAAGTTAACACCCTCCAATTCTTTTTTCTCTTCTCTAAAGCGTGACACGCAATTACTCCATCGTCGTCGTCACCAATCATTCGATTCGATTGCTTTGCTCCCTTCCTTCAAACCCAAGTCTCTCTTTAGTCCTTTCACCGATTCCCTCTCTCTCGCTTTACTGATTTCTTGTCCAGAAAGTAGAAACCCACTGCTGGGATTCCTGCAAAACCCTCAAATTTATAATTATTTGACAGCGACGGCTGACCACCGCCACCGCCACCTGCCGGGCTGCCTACCCTTGCGGACCTGAGGGTCTTCTTCAGCAATCCTCAATTCCACCCACTTTACTGCTGCTTTTTCTCTTCTGGGTTCTCTCCCTCGCAGATTTTTCTTACATGTCTCGCAACGTTGGAAACAACACCAGAAAGTCCAACTCCACGCGCCACCGGGCACAACCCGCCGCCGCGGTGGCCACCACGGTGGCCACGGGGACCGTCGCAGTCATGCCCGTTTACCCAATTGACCAATTGGGTTCTCCCTTCGGCGATGATTCCGCCGCCCCTCTCAACTTGTCAGCCTCGGAGCTCCGGGAATCCGCCTACGAGATCCTAATCGCGGCTTATCGGAGCTCCGGGACCCGCCCGCTCACGTACACCCCTCAGTCGGAGAGAGCGGCGGATGATAGAGGGCAGGGTCATGCCAATTCGACTCTCACGCATTCTTCATCGCTGCAGCGGTCGTTGACCTCGTCGGCAGCGAGTAAGGTGAAGAAGGCCCTCGGGATGAAATCGGCGAAGCGGAGAACGAACGGTGATGGCGAGTCGGCGGGTCAGGGGAGATCGAGGAAAGCTGCGACGGTCGGGGAGCTGGTTAGGGTTCAGATGAGAGTGTCGGAGCAGGCTGATTCCAGGATTCGACGTGCTCTACTGCGAGTTGCTGCTGGTCAGGTGGGACTTTCAATTGCGAAAATTCTTTGTGGTGTGTTATTTGGTTGCTCAGAAATTAGGGGAATAACAGAGTCAACAGCTTTGCAAAAGAGCACTCATAGAGACTGCACTGATCAAAGTTAGCATCCTTTTGTTATGGTGTCTGAAGTTTCTTCCAACTTCATTTTACTTGTTTCAGGATACTTGGTTTGCTTCAGTTTCCTTTGACATAGTTGAAAGATTGAACCTTGTTTTATCTCTCAGAATAAGGTCTAATCTAGTTTTGGGATTCTTTTTGGTGCTATTGTATCAGCTAGGAAGGCGGATAGAGTCGATAGTTCTACCTCTCGAGCTATTACAGCAGCTCAAGTCCTCGGATTTCCCTAATCAGCAAGATTATGAGGTCTGGCAGAGGAGAAATTTGAAGCTTTTAGAAGCCGGACTACTTCTGCATCCACACATTCCATTAGATAAATCCGACACTGCTGCAAGGCAACTTCAGCAGGTTATCCGTGGGGCATTGGACAAGCCCCTTGATACTGGCAGGAACACCCAGTCAATGCAAATACTCCGAAATGCAGTTATGCCCTTGGCTAGCAGGTCGTTGAACGGGTCTTCTGTAGAAACTTGCCACTGGGCAGATGGTTATCCCCTGAATCTAAGACTTTACCAAACACTCCTGGAAACGTGTTTTGATATCAATGATGAGTCAGTTGTTATTGATGAGGTCGATGAAGTGATAGAACTTATAAAGAAGACGTGGACAATTCTAGGAGTTAACCAGACGTTGCACAACATCTGCTTTTTGTGGGTTTTGTTTCATCATTATGTTGCAACTAGCCAAATCGAAGATGACCTCTTGTTTGCTGCAAATAGTCTGATTATTGAGGTGGAGAAAGATGCAAAGGCAGCTAAGGATCCAGAGTACTCAAAGATCTTGAGTTCGACATTGAGTTCTATACTGGGTTGGGCGGAGAAAAGGCTTGTGGCTTACCATGATAGCTTCAATAGTGATAATACTGAATCGATGGAATGTGTTGCTTCTATGGCTGTTGTGGCTGCAAAGGTACTTTTAGAAGATATCTCTAACGAGTATCACAGGAGCAGGAAACAGCGAGATGTTGCTTCAGATAGGATTGACGCTTATATCAGATCATCATTGCGTGCTGCTTTTAACCAGGCAAGTTGAATTTGTCTCACTTCTTAGGCCTCATTCCCCAGTTGATCAAATAATGAACTTCTCAATCAAATGTACCCTTCCAACTTGTAATTTTCTACCTTGAAATCTAATTTAAAAGGATGTGGATCACACTTAGTCAGTTCTACATTTCCAATTCTTCCATTTCCTCTTCTATAAAGCTTCAAAAGTTGAAGCGGTCGTTTTACTCACTTCTGGCCACTCATTACGTTGAATCAAATGGAAAGTATCTACTGCATATCTATCCTGGTCGTGGTACTACATTTATGGCATTTCAACTTCGAATCTTTACTTCCTGGTGTTCAGTTGGGAATTTCAACCTTCATGTTACAGAATCTTCTGGTGCTGAATTGGGGGACTATTGTATTATGTGAACTTTTGAAGAATCTACATGCCCCTAAAATACTCGTCAGATTTACTATTTATCATTGTTAATAGATGTTGTAGCTTTAGTTATATGCATTAGCTATTTCATTCATCATTTAGAGAAAGTAGTCTTGCCACTGAAAATGCTTTTAGCTTACGGTTCTCTTTCATATTCTTAAGACAGAGAATGAAGAAAATCACTTCATCCAAGCAACCATCTAGAAACCTGCAAACTCCACTTCCTCAGCTTGCTATACTTGCAAATGACATTAGCCAACTGGCTTTCAGTGAAAAGGCTATATTTAGTCCTATATTCAAGAGATGGCACCCCCATGCAGCAGGTGTAGCAGTAGCCACGCTTCATTCTTCCTACAGCAAAGAGTTGAATCAATTTGTATCAAGTGTCAGTGAGCTGACACCTGACGCCATACAAGTGCTGACAGCTGCTGACAAATTGGAAAAAGATCTCGTCCAGATTGCGGTGGAGGATGCGGTGGATAGTGAAGATGGTGGGAAGTCGATAATCCAACAGATGCCTCCATATGAGGCTGAAGCTGTGATGGCCAACCTTGTGAAGTCATGGATAAAAACACGAGTTGACAGACTAAAGGAATGGGTGGATAGGAATCTACAACAGGAGGTATGTTTCCTAGTGATGTTGAGGTTCACAAATTTAGTACAACTGTAGAGATTTGTGTGCATTAGATTTCTCATGGATGATCTAAGCTCCACCGTTTCTGACTCTTGTAGGTGTGGAATCCGAGGGCGAATAAGGAAAGGGTTGCCCCATCTGGAGTTGAAGTCTTGAGAACTGTTGATGAAACTTTGGAAGCCTTCTTCCTGCTGCCAATTCCTATGCATTCAGCCTTACTTCCAGAGCTTGTAGCAGGGCTTGATAGATGTCTCCAAAGTTACATATTGAAGGCAAAATCTGGTTGTGGTATGTTACCTACCCAGCTTCCTGAACTATTTCTGCAATGATTTATTTCTCTTGGTACCCAATACCCATGCTTATTACGTTTCCTCTTTTCTTTCCTTTTCAACAATCTGCAGGCACTCGAAGTTCTTATATCCCTGCTTTGCCTGCATTAACAAGATGTACAACTGGATCAAAATTCCAAGTATTCAAGAAGAAGGAGAAGTCGCAAATGAGCCAGAGAAGGAAGTCTCATGTTGGAACTGCCAGTGGTGATGACTCCTATGGAATACCTCAGCTTTGCGTGCGCATGAATACTCTGCATCATATTAGAATGCAGTTAGAAGTTTTGGAGAAGAGGACAACCATTCAACTGAGGAACAACATCAAGTCGGGTCATGTCAATGATGAGTTTACCAATGGAGTTGGGGTGAAGAAGTTTGAGCTATCAGCTACGACCTGTGTTGAAGGGATTCAACAACTCTGTGAGGCAGCGGCATATAAGATTGTGTTTCACGATCTAAGCCCAGTCATGTGGGACAGCCTCTATGTGGGTGAAGATGTTTCAACTTCTAGAATCGACCCTTTCCTTCAGGAGGTCGAGCAGAACTTGGAGATTATCTCGTCGATGGTGCATGACAGGGTTAGGACACGCGCCATTACTGACATGATGAGAGCTTGTCTCGATGGGTTCCTGTTGGTTTTGCTTGCTGGGGGCTCGTCTCGTGCTTTCTCTTTGCAAGATCATGTGGTAATAGAGGAGGACTACAAGTTCCTCCGGGAGCTTTTCTGGTCCAATGGAGATGGGCTACCACTCGAGTTGATAGACAAGTATTCCGCCACTGTTAGAAGCATCCTTCCTTTGTACCGAATGGACTCGGAATCCCTGATTGAGAGGTTCAAAAGTGCAGCCTTGGAGGCTTATGGCACTGCTTCCAAATCGAGACTTCCATTGCCGCCAACTACAGGTCATTGGGGTCCTAGTGAGCCAAATACTCTGCTGAGAGTTTTGTGTTACCGGAATGACGAGACAGCGACAAAGTTTCTAAAGAAGACTTACAACCTGCCTAAGAAATTGTAGTGTTGCCTTTAATGTTAGTGCATTTTTCTCAGTATGATGAACATTGCTCCTGCTCCTGAATCATTGGCTGCTGCAGTTTCTCGACCTGGTTGTCAACTGCTATGAAGAAAAAGACAATAACTTTTATGTAACAGCTGATTGAGACTTTGTGAGTGTAACACTTGTTGCTGCCGCATGTGTATTTAAAAAGAGGTTTGTTCAGGAGAAAGAAGTTGATTTTTGAGTGTTGAGAGGTTCTGTAGATACATGTTTAGAAGAAGGTAAGCTTGGAAAGTTGAGGTCAAATGTATGATGAAGGGAAGCAAACCAGAAATGGTGGAGCTTGACCAATGATTTTGGTGAAGCAGCCATCAATGGCGCTTGGGGAGGTGGTATGGGGTAAGTTCTTCATGGTTGGAGATGAATATGATTTACAGTGTGGAAAGTTACTGTATGCTATTATTTACTGTATGGGAACTGACCTGTTGGCTGTTGTAGTGTAAATTTGTAATTGGTAGTGTCTCAAGAGATTGGTAATTGAATTTTCTTTACTGTTATTTTTCAAAGTGAAGGCAAATGTAATGAAGCGAGGAAATGGCTGACAGGTTTGGAACCAACGGAAATCCCTTGAAAAGAAATAACTTCAAATAAGAAACAGCGGCCATCGCTATGGCGCTCTCATTCTCATACCACAGAACCAACGGAAATCCGAGTTCGAAGTTCGGAAATTTCCCGCTGGCGGGAAGGAAAAAACGTAAAGGAAAACCATGAAAGTCGACAAATTGAAGCTTCGCCAGGCAGTAGATTCACTCTACTCTATCGGCCCAGCAACCCAAGAGTCCTACACCCGGCTCGTGATAGAATGCTTTCGAGCCAACGATGCCGATCAAGCCAAGCGATTGCAGTCCCACATGGACGCTTACTCCTACCGCCCGGCCGATTCCTTCATTCACAATCGACTCCTCCATCTCTACGCGAAATCCGGCCAGATACCCAGTGCTCGCCAACTGTTCGACAAAATGCCCCACAGAGACATCTTCTCCTGGAACGCTATGCTGTCGCTGTATGCGAAATCCGGGTGCGTTGACGACTTGCAAGGCACGTTCGACAGGATGCCTTCCCGGGATTCGGTTTCTTATAATACCGTGATATCGGGTTTGGCTGGACGTGGGTGTGCAAGCAAGGCGCTTTCTGCCTTTGTGAAGATGCAAAGAGAGGGGGTTGTGCCCACAGGGTACACAGTTGTTAGTGTGGTGAATGCTTGTACGCAGTTGTTGGATTTGAGGAGAGGGAAGCAGATCCACGGGAGGATAATAGTTCGCGATTTCGGAGGTAATCCTTTTATTTCGAATGCGTTAACCGATATGTATGCAAAGTGTGGCGAGATCGCTGTGGCGAGGTGGCTCTTTGATAGGATGACGAATAAGAACTTGGTGTCATGGAATTCCATGATCTCTGGTTACTTGAAGAACGGGCAGACTGATAAATGCATTGATTTGGTTGGTGAAATGGAGTTGTCTGGTTTGAAGCCCGACCAAGTTACACTTTCAAGCATCCTCAGTGCATATTTTCGGAATGGATGTTTGGAACAAGCGGGGAAATTATTTAGGAAGATTTCAGCGAAGGATAAGGTATGTTGGACAACTATGATAGTTGGTTATACCCAAAATGGCAAGGAAGAGGAGGCTCTGATGTTGTTTAAAGAAATGACGTTAGCAAATGTCAAGCCGGATACTCATACCATCTCGAGTGTGGTTAGTTGCTGCTCTAAGTTAGCTTCTCTGAATCATGGCCAAGTTGTTCACGGGAAAGCATTTGTGATGGGAGTGGATGATGACCTGCTGGTTTCTAGTGCTCTTGTTGATATGTATTGCAAATGTGGACTCACTAGGGATGCGTCGAGTCTGTTTACCATGATTTCAGCCCGAAATGTGGTTTCTTGGAATTCAATGATTGGTGGGTATGCTCAAAACGGGCAGGATTCAGATGCTTTGGCACTTTTTGAGAGCATGTTGGTAGAAGAAGAATTTAAACCAGATCATATTACCTTTGTAAGTGTGCTATCTGCTTGTAACCATGCTGGTTTGGTTGAAGAAGGAAAGAGATATTTTGGATCAATGAGTGGAATTCATGGTCTGTCTCCTACTTTAGATCATTATGCGTGCATGGTTAATCTTCTTGGGCGTTCAGGAAGCATTGATGAAGCTGTTGAGCTAATTAGTAGCATGCCTCATAAGCCAGATTCCTTGATTTGGTCAAGCCTTTTAAATGTTTGTGCAACGAAAAGGAACATCAAGTATGGGGAGATGGCAGCGAGGAAACTATTTGCATTGGATCCTTTGAATGCCGGGCCTTACATCTTGTTATCCAACATGTATGCCAGTGATGGAAGGTGGAAGGACGTTGCAGCCCTGAGAAGTTTGATGAAGACCAACAACGTGAAGAAATTCGCAGCCTACAGTTGGGTTGATATCAACAATGAAGTCCACAAATTCGTTGCAAATGACCGGATCCATGTTGATTCGATAGCTATATACAAGGAACTCGATGATTTGATAAAGAAAGTTCAGGAAGTTGGCTATAAGCCTAGTACAAACTTGGTTTTACATGATGTTGGGGAACAAGAGAAACTGGAGTCCATTAGTTATCACAGTGAAAAGCTTGCGCTCGCATTTATGTTGATGAAAAGGCCTCATGAGTCTATGCCAGTAAGGATATTGAAGAACCTTCGTGTTTGTGGCGACTGTCATGCATTTATGAAGTTTTCATCTAAAGTTACGGGCAGGACTATCGTATTGAGAGATTCAAACAGATTCCATCATTTTGTTGGAGGGAAATGCTCCTGCAATGACCACTGGTGACGGAGAACGAGAAACACTGGGTGAACAGTCTGATAATGACACTGGAAACCATCGATTGCTTATGGCTGATGAGTACCTCCATGATTCAAAAGAGAAGAAGAGTTTATTTATCTGGTACTTTGGCTAATTCAGAGAACACACACTTCTACATACTAGAAGTTCTTACTTCTGTCAAACGTTACCTGAATGTCAAGGTACTGACCAGCCCACGGTGAGTGGAGCTTACAAAAGGTAAGTCGAGAAAGTTTACGAGGTAGAGTAACCCATTGTTAACAACACGAATTCGGTAGCAGATGTATTTTTGCAGCTTGAAGATGAAAAGGCTTTCTTATTTCTTAAGCATGTTGATTGTTTTTGGCGACTTTGTGTATGTTGGTTTCAGGAATTGAACCATTGGCAAATCTGCAGATGGATATGATGCCATGACGGTGGCTAATATGGACACAAGAGGGCTGGGAAGGCTGCTGCTGCTGCAGCATTCCAACGCCACTTCCACGGCAGCAGATTCTCAAGCTTCGTCGAAGAGAAGTTCTGTACACTCTGTTACTAGTGACTACATTCGCCTCTTGAAGCCTAGAAGTCTCTACCGTTGGATTTTCATAGGTTCAGATGTGAAGCGCTGAAATCCAAGATGAATGCTGGCCCAAGACACCAGAGTTGGGCTTTTCTGATAACTCTTTTCTTGTTGGGCAGCCACATTTCTGATTTCTCCACAAGATGACTTTTATCCAAATATGTATGTAGGATGGAGGGAAAGTATATGAATTTGAGACCTTCATATTGAAAATCAGTAATAAAATTGAAATACTGCATTCAAGCAATGGTGGAGGGAGGTAGTAAATTAGGACCCATGTTCTCGTCGATTTTAACTTATATAAGGACCCCAATAAACTCAAAATTCATTAAACACACAAGGTTTAATGTTATCAAATTTTTAAGGACTTCCAGTGAACTCAAAATCTAGCTATGTCACTGCATTCAAGTGCGTTGGTAACGAATGAACTCCGAACCTGAACCTTCTTTTAAGACGAGTACACGATAACCACTTCGCCTAAACCCACTATTACTTCCCTTTATTGACTTCTGATTGCAGCTGTAAATTTCTATCAAATGAAAAAAACAGGGGGTAAAAAAACAGAGCATCACTGTTCAATATCCATCTCGTTTTACCATGATAATAATTGATAACAACAACATATTCTTCCTCTCCCTTTCCCTTTCCAAGACTGAAAACCTTCAGTGGGAAGGACTGTGGAAGAAAGGTGTAGGACAGGGGAGAAGAGCACTACCCTGCAAGCAATGTGCATGGAGGAGACACGATCCTTCCTCCATAGCCACAAAAGAGAAAAAACAGGGGGCGCGATGACTCGTGAGAAACATGCAATTTTTCTTCTTTCTTCTTCTTCCATTTCACTTCTGCTCCCTTTTGGTTCAAGAAACACAATGATATCCCCATCATTTTCAGGTTGAACGCAGGGGAAGGATGGATCTCCATAATTTGCATGCAAGTTGTTTGCTTCTATATGGAGTTTTGCTGGGAGGATTCATTTGGGTCCAGAGAAAGGGAAGAAAGAATAAAAGTGAAAAGGACATGGTTTGCCTTTTTTACAGGGGGGGGGGGGGGGGGGGGGGGATTTGGATTGACTGGTTCGATTCCGCCATGAAAAATCAGGCCGAGGAACAAAAATCAACGCCATTCGATACGCTTGTCCCCTTTCCATTATTTTCTTGTTCCAGTTCCTGGCCCTCACCAGTGGAAGGCAGATGTGACGCGTTTAGAGTTTGAAGTTTGTACTGTGTTTAGGGTGGGCACGTGGGTGGTTAATTCGCGGATTGATATTGATTCACCTGCAAATAACCCGACCCGCACTTAGTGGGTGATTGATGTGGGTGAATTGCGGATTGGTAAATCTCTCATCCGTACTGATGTGGGTGGGTGGTGGGTGGATTGCAGGTCACCCATATGACCCGCATCCTATTTTGACATGAAAAAATGTTGTTTCATATAGTATCAAATATTCATAATATTTTCGAACTGCACTACAGTCTGACCATATACTTCAAAAGGTGGAGAATAAATAATAGTTTTGACTACTATTATTGGTCATTGTGTTGTGCAATATTCATTAGATATTGGATATTGGTATGCAAATTATTGTTAATAACCATTAAATATTGGGATGCAAACTATAAAGTATTAATTGTATCAAAATCACAAGTTATTGATGCAGTCTCCTAATTTGCTATGAAATTATTATAAATGTTAGTCAACTTTCTTAATGGCTAAATGGAGAATTGGTTTTGTGGGTTCATCCGCGACCCAACCGCACCCAACCGCCACCCACCCAACCCAACCCGCAGAAGTATGTGGGTGGATTGCGGGTCACATTTATTCCAACCCGCTAGTAAGCGGGTGGGTCAATTTGAGACCAAAACCCACCCAACCCACCCGTTGTCCACCCCTAACTGTGTTTGTGAAATCATACCGTTTAAAAATTAGTAAAAATCGGAATTTTATGTAAAACAAACAATGAGGGTAAAATTGGAATCTTATCGTCGTAGGATTTTAAGGTCATGTAAAAATGAAGACAAAGTAATAGTAGTAAGGTAAATCATGAAAAAACAAAAAACAAAAATTACATAACAGTTACAATGATAATTTCTCAAGGTTAATGTTTCAATTTATCGAGGTTAAT